TCGATAAGAAACGTATCAATATGCGAGTGAATCATTACAGCCTTATTAGGGTTTAAGATTGACATTAGTTAATGAAAGAATGATAATAACTGATCCTGGTCTGCCTAATTCTGGCATACAGCTATATATACAGTCTTGTCTACTTTATGCTGGTATACAACTTAGACATACCTGTCAACTCTCACGCTTTATTGACAAATGTCACGTGCATCTCATGCCTCCAAATAATAATCACACGCATATCTGGTAGCCAAATATAATTTCAAATTAATATGCATTTTCGCTCTCGCTTTTGGCGTAAAAATTGAAAGAACGCTTCTGAATGAACGAAGAACTAAAAACGATGTTTATGCCAATGGTTCGGCTTTTATTATTATTTATTAGCATGCATCTTTAGTGTCAAAATAATGCCACCAGTAGGCTCCAAATGCCCTGAAAAATCACTTTCAACTTCATTTTTCGGGGTGGGGGCTTCTCGCTTCCAGAGACTCTCCACCAGTGCATCGCCTTCAACATCACCTCGCTGACCCTCGCTTATTCTGGGCAACTATATATACAGTCTGGTCTCCAGAATGTTGATATACACCTATATATACAGTCTGGTTTCCCTAATGCAGGTATACAACTGTATATACTTCTCTGGTCTCTTAATGCTGGTATGAAACTATATATAATGTATGGTCTCTAGTGCTGCTGGTATATACAAATGTATATACCCATCTTGTCTCCATGATGCTGGTTTACAACTATATATACTGGATTGGTCTCTCTAATGTAACGTGATACAACTGTATATACAGTCTGGTCTCCATAATGCTGGTATACAACTATATAGATAGTCTCGGGTCTCCCTAATGCTGGTATACAACTATATATACTGCCTCCTCCATGATGCTGGCATGGAACTATGTATATACCGTCTGGTCTCTCTAATGCTGGTATACAACTTTATTACCCACGGTCAACGTGATGGGAGTTGCATACTAATCTCGTGACGTCACACGGTGTCGATCGCTGACCTGTGTCGAACGACTTGACCCTGAGATTCTAACGATTTGATTGATAACCGATGACTCCTCAGTTAGGTCATGTTGTGACGGAACTACTTTTCATTCATAACAAACACGTGAATTCATTCATCTCTACAACTAAATGCATTGTGGGAATAAACATCGCTAACGCTGCCGTCGCTGTTTTATTGTGAGTCGAACTGAGACATTATACCCGGGCTTTAAAAACGTGAAACGCAATGTTTTCAACCAGTGATGTTAGCTCTAATGAAGCAACTGCAAAACCAAGAAACGGGTGCTACGGAGTAGTTTACTGTAGGAGGCTGTACGAGGCTAAGACAACTGACATGCATCGCGGATCGCCGGTTATTGAAGGCAGTGACGCCATTACAGTGACGCCATGCAAATATTGTACTACAGTACAAAACTCTTCCGTTAATCCTCTTTATGAAACCGGGTTTCGGGTTTGAAACCAAAATATTAACAAAACTACGCTATTTTATTTTGTCAATTTAATGCATGTAAGACGGGTAATAATAAATAATATTGACTGGTTCATATGGTGATAAGATGCACGCTGCGATCTTCCTTTATAGTTATTCGACTCGCCGGCTCGGTCAGATACCATAGGAAGGACACTCTTTCGTGATAAGTAATCTCGTGATGTAATGAGACCTCGTGGTAGCATTCCTCTATGCATATACCGTCTGGTCTCTAATGGCAGGTATTAAGCAAAATGGCCATACCGTGTATATTCCTAATGCTGATATACAACTATATATACTTGGTCTGGTCTCCATAATGCTGGTATACAACTGTATGTACTGGTCTGGTCTCCCTTATGCTGGTGGTATACAACTGCATATACTGTCTGGTCTCCCCCTAATGCTGTTATCCAACTGCATATACAGTCTGGTCTCACTAATGAAGATATACAACGATATATATACAGCCTCCTCTCCATGATGCTGGCATGGAACAATGTATACTGTCTGGTCTCTAATGCTGGTATACAAACAATATTTATAGTCTGGGTTTCCTAATGCAGGAATACCACTGTATATACAGTCTGGTCTCTCTAACGCTGGATTACAACTATATATACTCGTCTGGTCTCTCTAATGCATGTATACAACTGTATATACAGTTTGGTATCTCTAATGCTGGTATACAACTGTATATACTGTCTGATCTCTGTAATGCAGTTATACAACTGTATATATAGTCTCGTCTCCATAATGCTGGTTTACAACTATACATACTCGGTCTCTAATGCAGGTATACAACAGTATACACAGTCTGGTATCTCAGTCTGGTATCTCTAATGCTGGTATACAACTGTATATACTTTCGTCTGATCTCTGTAATGCAGTTATACAACTGTATATATAGTCTCGTCTCCATAATGCTGGTATACAACTATATATACATTCTGGTCTCCTAATGCTGGTATACAACTATCTATACAGTCTGGTCACTCTAATGCTGGTTTACAACTATATATACTGACTGGTGTCTGTAATGCTGGTATACAACTGTATATACAGTCTGGTCTCTCTTATGCTGGTATACAACTATATATACAGTCTTGTCTCTAATGCTGGTATACAACTGCATATACTGTCTGGTCTCTATTGCAGGTATACAACTGTATATTCTGTCTGGTCTCCCTTTATGCTGGTATACAACTGCATATACTGTCTGGTCTCCCTAATGCTGTTATACAACTGTATATACTGTCTGGTCTCCATAATGCCGGTATTCAACTATACTGAGTCAAAAAGAAACTTCACAAAATGTAATTTTTAAAATAATGAATAATTTTTCTCTGATGATACATCTATGTATCCGAAATGGGATCCCTATCTTCGACACTAGAAAAAACGATAGCAAAACCCACTCAAACCCATCCATTCGTCGTGCAAAATGACGTTAGTGCCAAATCAGGTTTTGCACGTGCAGTCAATCACGTGATCTTCGCATCGAAGTTTTCTTCATATGCACGTGTTTGCATTGGCCTCAAGAATTGAAAAACACTTTTAAACCACAGTTCTAACGGTACTTCGAAATGCCACGATTGTCAAATGTGCAACGGAACGTGCCGCTGGCATGTTGCAAGCGGGAAGATCAGTTATTGACGTTGCAAGAGCAATGGGATGCAGCCGTCGTACTGTGTATGATTTGGTAAGGTCGTCTACAAGAAACTGGCACCACTTCTGATCGCCCAAGGTCGGGTCGTCCACGCAGTGACGTCACGAGCAGAAGACCGTCAATCGTCCTACGTCACCTACGTGACAGATTTCTGCCGGCTACACGAACCAGGGCTGAGATGTTTAGAGGTCAACTGTCCTCACAGACCATTCGAAATCGGTTACGGGCTGCCAATCTCCATTCTCGACGACCATATCGTAATAATATTGACGCGCGTTTCATCAACGTCAACGCCCGCTGTGGGCCCAACGTCACCTCCGATGGACCCAGAGAGACTGGAATCGAGTCGTTCTTTAGCGATGAATACAGGTTTACCCTCAGATTCGCGGACGGCAGGCATAGAGCCTGAGACGACGTCGTGAACGGTATGCCAAATGTTGTGTACAGGAAGTCGACAGATTCTGGGGGCGGAAGTTGCATGGTGTGGGTGCTTTCTGTGGGAACAACCGTTCCCGACTTCTGGTCATCCGTGGAAACCTCACAGCTGCTGCTTACCGCGACCAGGTGCTCACCTCTGAACTCGTTCCTTTCATGGCGGCTCATGGCCCAGGTCTACAGTTCCAGCATGATAATGCTCGGCCGCATACCGCGATGTTGACACGAAATTTCCTTCAAAACGCTGGAATCAACGTCATGGACTCGGGCCATCGAGGTCCCCTGACCTTAATCCAATAGAGCACGTTTGGGATGCACTTGGGAGAAGGCTTCGTGGTCTTAGGAACCAACCTCAGAATTTGCAGGAACTTGGCGCTGCCTTGCAAGAGCAATGGCGCAGAATCCCCAACCACGTGTTCACAAGCATCAGGCAGTCGATGAGGAGACGGTGTTTGGCAGTGGTGGAATGCGCAGGGCGGCCATACACGATATTGAACTGAGAAATTTTGCATTTTTATTCTTGTGACTTGACATTCTGTATACCCATGTTTTGGAACGGCGATGTAGCCTAATGGAACTGATTATGGCACTGTCAGTGTATCGAGTACATCACACAGATCTCAGCAATGAAATAATAACAATTTAACCATCTTACCATCTCTTTGTTCTTTATAGTGCCCTGAAGAAAGAATGTGAAGTTTCTTTTTTGACTCAGTATATATAGATAGTCTGGTCTCCCTAATGCTGGTATACAACTATATATACTGCTTCTGTCCATAATGCTGGCATAGAACTATGTATACCGTCTGGTCTCTTAATGCTGGTATACAACTGTATATAGAGTCTGGTCTCTAATGCAGGTATACAACTGTATATACAGTCTGGTCTCTAATGCTGGTATACAACTATATATACCGGTCTGGTCTCCCTAATGCTGTAGTATACAACTATATATACGGTCTGGTATCCCTGTAATGCTGGTATACAACTGTATATACAGTCTGGTTTCCCTAATGCAGGTATAACAACTGTATATACTGTCTGGTCTCCATAATGCTGGCATACAACTATGTATACTGTCTGGTCTCCCTAATGCTGTATATACAACTGTATATACTGTCTGGTCTCCCTAATGGTGGTATACAACTGTATATACTGTCTGGTCTCTCTAATGCTGGTATACAACTATATACCGTCTGGTCTCCCTAATGCTAATATACAACTATATATACGGTCTGGTCTCCGTAATGCTGGTATACAACTGTATATACAGTCTGGTTTCCTAATGCTGGTATTCAACTGTATATACTGTCTGGTCTCCTTTATGCTGGTATACAACTGCATATACTGTCTGGTCTCCCTAATGGTGGTATACAACTGCATATACTGTCTAAGTCTCCCTAATGCTGGTATACAACTGCATATACTGACTTGGTCTCCCTAATGCTGGTATACAACTATATATACTGTCTAGTCTCCCTAATTCTGGTATACAACTACCTATACTGTCTGGTCCTTAATGCAGGTATACAACTGTATATACAGTCTGGTCTCCATAATGCTGGTATACAACTGCATATACTGTCTGGTCTCCCCTAATGCTGGTATACAACTGCATATACCGTCTGGTCTCTCTATAATGGTGGTATACAACGGCATATACTGTCTAGTCTCCCTAATGTTGGTATACAACTGCATATACTGACTGGTCTCCCTAATGCTGGTATACAACTATATATACTGCTTCTCTCCATAATGCTGACATAGAACTATGTATACAGTCTGGTCTCTCTAATGCTGGTATACAACTGTATATACAGTCTGGTTTCCCTAATGCAGGTATACAACTGTATATACAGTCTGGTCTCTAATGCTGGTTTACACCTGTATATATACCTAATGCTGGTTTCCACCGAGTCTCCCTAATGCTAATATACAACTATATATACGGTCTGGTCTCCATAATGCTGGTATACAACTATGTATACCGTCTGGTCTCCCCTAAAGCTGGCATACAACTTTATATACTGTCTAGTCTAACTAATGCTGGTATACAACTACCTATACTGTCTGGTCCCTCTAATGCAGGTATACAACTGTATATACAGTCTCGTCTCCCTAATGCAGGTATATAACTTCATATAAAGTCTGATCTCTAACGCTTGTATACATCTGCATATACTGTTTGGTCTCACTAATCCTGGTATACAACTGTAAATACAGTCTGGTCTCCCCTAATGCTGGTATACAACTATATATACTGTCTGGTCTCTCTAATGCTGGTATACAACTATATATACTGTCTGGTCCCTCTAATGCTGGTATACAACTGTATATACAGTATGGTATCTCTAATGCTGGTACACAACTGTATATACAGTCTGGTCTGTCCCTAATGCATAGGTATACAACTGCATATACAGTCTGGCCTCTGTAATGCTGGTTTCAACCTATATATACCGTCCGGGTCTCCCTAATGCTAATATACAATTATATAGACCGTCTGGTCTCCATAATGCTGGTATGCAACTGTATATACAGTCTGGTTTCCTAATGCAGGTATTCAACTGTTTATACTGTCTGGTCTCCCTAATCATGTTATACAACTGCATATACAGTCTGGTCTCCCTAATGGTGGTATACAACTGAATATACTGTCTGGTCACCCTAATGCTAGTATAAAACTATATATACAGTATGGTCTCCCTAATGCTGGTATACAACTATATATACTGTCTAGTCTCCCTAATTCTGGTATACAACTACCTATACTGTCTGATCCCTCTAATGCAGGTGTTATAGTGACTAATTCAGGACAGCCATCGTCCAAATATTTAAAAGTCCAAACCTATGTACTCAAGACATGTGAGACTTTATTGTAATATATAAATGACGCTAAGCTGTATTTTAATCACTACTGTACATCCTTTTCACTACTGCATTGTAAATTGACTTGTCAGCCCATTAATTATTGTATAAGAGTCTGACATTTATAACCTCCATTGGTAATCCCCTTGGCTGTGTCTGCCATCCACATCAACTGGTCAAGGAAGTACTATTGTTTTCTGTCTGTCCATTGATTAGTCGTCACCTGACCATTGTTGTCAAAACTATATATATATACTAGGTATGCTCACATGTAGACAGTGAATGAGGAGAGTGAAGGAGTACAAGTTCGGTAGCTGGACTGTCCGTTCGGACGACCACGAGCAGGATAATGCCGCTCGTTGGAAACGCCTTGGGTTGAGCAGGTACTCCGCTGTTTATGTATGTATTTGTTTGTCATGTAACTAAAGAAGTTTGAACTCAACTATGCCTTCGTCATCATCAACAGCACACTTCATCTAAATTATGGGCTAATTCCCCAGTCGACGCGTATACCACGCGTTGACACAGGTATACAACTGTATATACAGTATGGTATCTTTAATGCTGGTATACAACTGTATATACAGTTACTGGTCCCTAATGCTGGTATACAACTGCATATACAGTCTGGTCTCCCTAATGAAGGTATACAACTATATATACTGCCTCCTTTTCCATAATAATGGCATGGAACAATGTATACTGTCTGGTCTCCGTAATCCTGGTATACAACTATCTATACAATGTTGGTTTGCAGCTATATATTCGGCCTGGTCTCCATAATGCTGGTACAAAACTATACATACAATTTGGTCTCTAAAAAACTATGGATACAGTCTGGTCTCCACAATGCTGGTATACAACTATACAGACAATCTGGTCTCCCTAATACTGGTATACAACTATATATACAGTCTGGTCTCCCTGATGCTGGTATTCAATAATACATACAGTCTGGTCTGCCTAATGCTGGAATACAACCATATATACTGTCGGGTCTCCCTAATGCTGGTATACAACTATATATATAGTCAGGTCTCCCTAGTGCTGGTATAAAACTGTAGATACTGTCTGGTCTACAAATGCTGGTATACAACTATACATACAGTATGGTCTCCCAAATGCTGGTATACAACAATATATACAGTCTGGTCTCCCCTAATGCTGGTGTACAACTATATATACAGGCTGGTCTCTCTCTAATGCTGGTATGCTGCTAAATATACAGTCTGGTCCTTCTAATGCTGGTATACAACTATATATACTGTCTGGTATCTCTAATGCAGGTATACAACGATATATACAGTTAGGTCTCCAAAGTGCTGGTATGCAGCTGTATATACAGTCTCCTCTCCCTAATGCAGATATATAACTGTATATACAGTCTGGTCTCTCTAACGCTGGTATACATCTGCATATACTGTTTGGTCTCCCTAATGTTGGTATACAACTGTATATATACAGTCTGGTCTCACTAATGAAGATATACAACTATATATAGACTGCCTCCTCTCCATAGGCCTTTCCTAAATTAGGTGGCTAAAAATGGCATAAATATCCAAAACGAGGTTGAGTGAGCACGAGAAGGGAATCCGCTGAGAAACATGGCGTCGTCAGCGGTACTCTACAGTCAGAGGGTTTTGTCTCTACTGCCAGACGGTCTTCTTACTCAAGATTTGGTTGATAATTACCTGCAGTCAAGATCCAAGGCATCGGGAAAGAGTCACATGCAAAAGCATACAAGTATTTCCCACGAAATACTTGAGAAACAGACAAAGTAAGTAAACAGCTGCTGGTAAATATATGGCATCAATGTCAATGCATGCATCAGGTTAGGAAACCTACCGAGCGGGGATATCATACCCCGAGACTATTTCATTTATATATTCCTATCTTTTGATCGGAAACAAAATGTAATGAATTTTGGTGTTTAAATCCAAGTGTTGCATATATTGGAAATATCGAATTGTCGCCCGAGTCGGGGATATAAAATCAGGTTAGGTGGGTTTCCTCAACATGTGTACATGATAAAAATAAAATTATACATCTCTCAGAATTACTGTGGGAATTACTGATGTTATATTATCTACCTTCGGTCTTATCCAGTCAGAATATTTTGATGATAATGTCCACATAAATTATATTTAATAAATATTATGTGGTTCTAATATATTAATAAATATTATGGATCTAATATAATTATCATTGTAATTTGTTTCTTTTCTTGGTAGTTACATGAAAAGGTGTGGTCATGCCATGGCAACATGTGTGCAAGCTGGTATGGTAAGTTGTCTAGAATCAGATGTTAATAAATACTGGTGGTCAGACATTGGTACCACATCATTTGATATATGAGGTCAGTAGTTCATTTTAATTTATACTATATGTGTAAGAAATATTTTGCTTATTTTAGAATTATGAATTTGGTCGGTATCGTGATTAGCATGATGTTGTGGTGCTAATTCTTAGTCCACAAAGAAACAAGTACAAGTGTAGATTGTCAGCCTGTGCGCTATGCTTCACAAAGAAATAAAATTATATTCCATATGGAGTAAAATGAAAAAGCTAATGTCTTGAAAGCGTTCATGTTGAGGTTATGCTTATTCATTGACTAATTAAGAACTTTTTTCTTTCGGTTATGCGGCTTTTATTTTGATCATGTGCAGATGTGATTTCATCCACATTAAAGATAGAAGGAGCCAGTTCGTGTTTTGTCAGCCCTAAAATTCTAAGGTATGTACCATTGATATATTGATTGACCTTATTAAAAAGAAATGTGATAGCATGAACAATCTCATACTGACTTTGTTTTGCAAGCATTACGTGCTAACATTTTTCTTTTCTTTGAAATGCTTTTGATGTGAATAATCTGTAATTTTTGAGATAATATGATACAATATAATATAGTTTATTCTTAAGTTGAGCATCACTGGGCAGCTAGCACTCAGTCTACAGCTTAACATGTCTAGAAGTAAAGGTACTATATAAGTTAAATTTAATCTCGAATTTCATCCCTCTGTCTATGTTGACTTCATAACATTTTAATTGTTTTGTGGAGATTCTTTACTTTAATAAACAAAAGGCCTACTTCCTCTGTTTAACGTAGAATGCTATACAGTAACATATATTTTTCAAGGAGTTAGCTTCATCCCAAAAGCATTTATTTCCAATGTGAATTAAAATGCAAAATTTATAATAACTGGATGATATGTACATTTTGTATAAATGTTGTCTTTCATTGTGTTTGTTGCAGGAGACACTGAGTTTTTTATTGGTGTGACTTGTGGTTATGTTGAAGGTGCTGAGTGTGACTATCCCAAAAGGTGAAGGGAAAGGTTGTAGCCATATTGGAGCCCTACTATGTGACACATGGGTCCCTTAAAGAAACTGGGAAACAAGGCGGATCTTCAACAGATCCTGTGAAAACATCTCAGCATACAGACATGGTATAAAACCTAGAGGGGAGAAAATAAGCTGGAATTGGAAGTGTAAGACGTTGTGGCTGTTGGATTACAGCAAAAGGCACAATCCCATGGAAGCACCTAAAGAGGCGGAGGTGGAATCAACATTTAGCCACAACCCTCCTCAGGACTGATATGCCTGATCAGTACTGGGGCTCTATGCATCACTGCGTTAAAAGTTTCTATATCAGCAATGATTATCCCAGCCTTAGAGGCTAAAGTGTGAGTGGGTCTTGTCCCAATGGGTTGAAACTTCTTTATTAAATTTCAGAAGGGTCTGTGCTGGCTGTGCATCAGAAAGTGAATCCCCACTATAACATTTCCATTTTGACAATTTTAAGTATCCACCATTACCAGTATCCAACAAGATTGAAAACAATATGGTTATGCTGCTTCACTGACAAAGGAAAAGCAGTTTGAGGTGGAGTCTTTTGGAAGTGCACTGTTGAGAAAATACATACATTTGAGGGAGAAACCAGGCTGCCAGAGCGACATGAAGTCTTTGTGGTATAACTACAACTTAAGAAGGAATCAGTCTTGGTGCTTCAAAGATGCGCAGTGTACTTACCAGAAGAGACAACTACTTGAAAGACTGGCTGAAGATTCGGAGGAAAAAACAAGACAAACACAGGCCATGGCAAACAGGACTAGCAAATGAACCAGTTGCTATTGATGGGTACATTCAGGTACTTGATGGAGCAAACATTTATCCTGTTGGCATTGTCATAAGGCCCTGGGAATATTGGATGCTTGTCAGCTTACACACCAGATCGGAAGAAGTTATATACGTCATCGCCATTCTGCTATTGGCATTCTTTAGAGTCAAATGTCCATGCCTTCCAGCATCTGTTCTTGAAGTATCATACCTGAAGAGAGTGGGGGATCGTCTTCAACTTAATCATAACCATCCATATTACACCCAAGTGCAGAGCTCAACTTGGAGTCACAGGACTAGAGTGGTGTGATTTCTTTCTTTGGTGTGAAATGACTATCATCTAAGTTTCAATCCTTTTGATGCTGAAGAATGGGAAGCTGGGCTATCAAAGATAAAAGCGAGACCACTTCTTTTTCAATTATTACCTCGTAAAATGAATATAGCATTTGCAGGCCTAGAGGAGTGTATTGGATGAAGGGACCTTGATTGGACTGCTCATACCCATGTCGGGCTTAGGATGCTTGATTCAACAAAGGCAATCACTACTTCCTGATTGATGTTGGCAGGTTTCACTGTATTCTTTTTCTAGTGTTGGAACTTGAACATCTTGAACATTGTTGGAAATTCTTTTTAACCTGAATTTGTGGCTCTTGAAATTCAGTGCAATAAAGACAATAAATATGTCAGAATTACCTTTAATGTGTTTATTGTTTCAAAAACTTACAACCCTGTATGTTTGATGATATACTTGGTATCAAAGATCAAAGATTTCGTACAAGGATATCTTATTCTTTACATTGCAAATATACAATATTTTCGAAGATAATTCTGCAATTAATATTACCCTATACTGGACAAAATTGTTAGGATATGTGTAATTTTGAAATTATGAATAATGATCTATTTATTAATTGACATAACTGATAAAATATCAATCATAAAAATACCAATATCCCTAAATTATTTTGCCCAGTATATATGTCAATTTACATTATTTTGATTTGGTTCTCTTTAAACCCCTAATGATGAGTTTTACAGTTAAATTCTTTCTAAGATGTTAAGTGATCAGACTTAGGTCGATAGCGATTGTTCAGAATGCATCTCTTTATCTCTAATTGGTCAATTTCATAGCATGCATTTGTTCTGCCAGTGAAATTATAATCAAAGATAAGGGCACATTCTGGGCAAAGCTGCCGACATGAGGGATATATCAAAATTATGCAGACATTGAAGGACACTTTGCAAGAGATATTTCCAATGTCATTTATTAATAAGTCTGAATATAACAACGTTGATAGAGTTTCAGATATTGCCTGTAAGAGTACCCCATTCTAGTATTAAGTCTTTCTTGGATTCAACCCACACCAAGAGAGTCAGGGCGTAAGTGTCGGCACTGAATGACTGCCATTGACTGTGGATAAGGTGTTGGGGACACTAAAGTGCTGGCGGTTAGTGCCTGACTCTGAGAATGTGGGTTCGAATCTCAGGAGGGTATCAGATTAGAATCGGGTACTCTTGCAGATAGTGTAATCCCAAATATAACATTATTACATTTGTTGACTATCAAAATGGCATGTATTTTAAGTCTGGAATATCAGGAATGACCAGAGCATGCAATATCTCATTTTGCTATTAATGGTCCCTGAAAATTGGCAAGAATACATGCAACTGACCACAATTGATTCATAGAACCAACCATTGACATTGGTATATCATTGTCAAATATGTGATTTTCCTTCACACGCCTGTTGAAACTGCTCCACATGCACACGTGACTAGCAATTTCATTCAGTTCCACCTGTTCAAGTGTGAATTGTCCATTTATCACTTGTTGATAAAATGCATGCATGTTGAGACCAATGTTCTCTGCAAAATATCTTCCAAGTCGTAAAAACCTTTATCTGCCATGACACTGTCTCCTTCCTCAAGTAAATCTCTAATACCACATAATTTTACAATTTCATTGTCTGACATGCATCCTGTGTATAAGGGTGATAAGAAAGTCATTGCATTCATGTGGGCCACGCCAATCAGAGATTTGAAAGTTGTTCTGTCCTTGTAATTTGAATACGCTTTTGGCTATTCAATACCATTGATGAAGGGACTTGATATGTGATTTCTGTACAGTCCAAGACAACTCGGGTTGAAGAATACTTCGCTTGAAATCTTCAGGCATCAGACAGTCTATTTGTTGCCTTGAAAGCCACAGTGGAATGCTTCCCAAAACAAAGTACAAGTAATTCAGCCATGTTAGAATTTTACGACTCACCGTTTGCACAGTACAGTCAAACCTATCTGATAAATCTTCTTCTAGCAGTCCCAACCTCATACGACACAGAAACATGAATAGTTCATCTATCAATAGCATGTTCCGTTTCCTCCCAGCAAGAGATGTGTTCTCACTAGCCTGCAGATAGTACATACTTTTCATGTTTGATGCTGTTGGCTGGATCCAATTGAAGAAAGCAATTAAAACCTGATATGAGATAAACTCTGTATAAAACCTTATTTTTTGAGTCATCATATGAGAAACGATTGATGCCAAAACGACTAATGTCCAATTTTTCTCTCAACAATTTGTTTTCTGCTTGAAGTTTCTCATTTTCCTCACTACATCTCTTCAACATGTCCTGTAGTTCACTAACTTTGTCACCCCTCAAGTTGTTTTGTGTCATCTGAAGTTTGTGCTAATAATCAGCATCAGATTCCACCTCCATTGATCCCTCTATAGCATTGTCTGCTGTCTCTGGTATGTGTGTCTCCAACTGTTGTCGGTTTATAGCAAGTCCTGATCGTCTCTTTTACTCCTTGGACCAATAAAACTTTGATGGAATGACTCTTGACTTCAACATTCGCTTCACAGGTGTCCATTTATAGTCTGTTGCTTCAAAATGCTTGCTGCAGACTACTGAGGACTTACTACCTGACCTATATGAAAATAAAATGTTGATTAACAATCTGGGATACAATCTGATATGGGAGTTCAAACATCTTTTGAACAAGCAAAATGCATAAAACGACAGAGACATAGATATCTAATGAGACTTTCCTTCTTTTAGATCAAATCATTAACATTTTGCATAATGATTTGAAAAACAGATGTACTACTTATCGACCAAACTTTATCACGAGAAATTGTCTAATATATTTGCCTCACGCCCAAATGGTTACGCATCTCTATCAATCTATTTGGTAGTTGAAGTGGACAGGGTAATCATGGTAATTGTCCTATTTTCGATCACTTTGGTGGATGGCGAATGCAGCAAGATCAGTTACAAATCTTGCAGCCTTGCAGAATTTAGACTATTTACCAAAGTGATGGAATGGTATAGGTAGAACTTTGAATTTTGAAAAACACTCCACGAAAGTGAAAAGTGATCGGAAATGCTGTGAGGGCTTAATCCAGATACACCCACTCCCGCTTTGTCCTGAAAGTGTATTAAATGACCACTGAAACTCTCATGAAAATGAAGTGTGCACCCCCATTTTCTCAAAAAGCTGTATCCACCCCTGTGAAATAGGACGGTTGATACTCCGCAGACCCACTACTCTTCAATAGTATCTCGTAGTTTAGGTTCTTAATATTCTGAGCAAATACAAACGAGTCATGTATAATCTACTCAGTATAGATCTATGTTCAGTGATATTGGAATATTACCATTAAAAAAATAAATTGCTAACAGAATATTATTCAGTAAATTCAATTTCGTTTACGCTGAGTGACATACTGTACCTTGAAAAGGGACCCTCGTCCCGGACGGCAATTTTCAGTGCTTCCTTGTTTTCCTGAAGTGTTTGTCTTTTGGGAAAGTGGTGGAACCATACAGGGGATCTTTCGGATAGCGGGCTGTCAGACTGACATTTGTATACGCTGCAGTGTTGGGCATTTTGCCCCCACCTGTGTCCTGAAACAACAAAACGCCATACACGTCTGTCGCCATTTTGACGTTGCTTGCTCACTTCAGCCTCGTTTTGGATTCATGACCCAATGACCTGCATAAATTTTGAGGAGAGCCTATAATGCTGGCATGGAACCATGTGCATACCGTCTGTCTCTCTAATGCTGGTATACAACCGTATATACAGTCTGGTTTTCCTAATGCAGGTATAGAACTGTATATACAGTCTGGTCTCTCTAACGCTGGATTACAACTATATATACTGTCTGGTCTCTAATGCTGGTTTACAACTGTATATACAGTCTTGTCTCTAATGCTGGTATACAACAGAGATATACAGTCTGGTATCTCTAATGTTGGTATACAACTGTATATACAGTCTGGTCTCTGTAATGTCAAGCTATACAACTGTATATATAGTTTGGTCTCTCTAATGCTGGTATACAACTATATATACAGTCTGGTCACTCTAATGCTGGTATACAACCATATATACATAGAGATTACTAGTCGAGTGTTCAGTCTGATACCATTTATCTATAACGAGTTAGCCGCAGTAAAATGATTAACGAAATAAAGCGAAGTTAAACACGCTTTGAAATAACGGGCTGTCCGGATAAATGGTATCTTTAGCCATGACACGAGTACAGTAATCTGCTTCTTACACACCATAAACCGCACCATTCCATGGTCGAATGTATGATTTAATTTTCTCATGCTTTTCAATCGTAGTTGCGCAATAATACACAACACAACGTTTATGAATGAGTGACGTCACTTGGCTTCCTAATCACTACTCATCCCCATGGTGACCCTCCACAAAAAGGTTTCTACACCCTTGCATCATCAAGGCAATGGTGATAATGATAACTAGATAAGATCACTGAAAATTAATTAAACCCTCTAAAACGATGATGTTACCATGCAAATGTGGATGATTTTAATTCTTGCAAGCGTAAAATATTTGAGCCGTGTGACGTCATCGTTATCGCTTTGGTGGTTGTCGCCATCATCGGAAGATTGTTTTGGATATCTCTGCACATTTGGTATCTGTACTTGTGTACCAGCTCAATGTTCTACCATCGACCGGAGCCAAAGGTTTCGAGTGTATGTAATTAGGTGCACCCAGTGTGCTTTGAATGTGACATTGCTGAGGTTACGCTCACTGTCAATGGGGACTACTCTTCTTCGCCACATCCTTCTCGTTTCTCCTGAGCCAGAAACTGCCACTTGGAATGTGATGGAGTTTACAGAGTTTTCAGTATGAAATGTGAGTTGATTACATCCTGTAAGTTATCAAGACATAAACTTTTCATTATCAGCGCGTCAGGAGGAATATCTTTGAGCAATGACTTATGTGTAGATCAACCGCTCCTGTACATGTTCACAGAAAGGACGACTGGTTTGGCTTCTTATGCTGTCTGGGTCTCCCATAGCGGATTTACAACTACATATACTATCTAGTCTCTAATGCTGGTTTACAACTAACCTGTCTAGTCTTCCTAATATTGGTTTACAACTATCTATACAATAGTCTCCGTAATGTGCTGGATTATGCATATGCTGTCTGGTCTCAATATTGGCTTACAACTATATATACCGATCTGGGTCTCCTAATAATTAGTTTTACAACTATGAATATACTGTCCTGGTCTCCTAATATTGAAGCACAACTATATATATACCGTCTGGTCTCCCAAATAGTGGTTTTAGCTTCTTGTATACTGTCTGGTCTCCTAAAAAGTAGTTTACAACTGTATATACTGTCTGGTCTCCATAATGCTGGTTACAACTGTATATACTCTAGTCTCCTAATGCTGGTTGCCAACTATATATACTGTCTGGTCTCCTAATCATGGTTTAGCTACATTACTGTCTGGTCTCCTAGTACCAGTTTACAACTATATGCTCTCTGGTCTCCTAGTGCTGGTTTACAACTGCATATACTGTCTGATGCTCCCTAATGTGAACTTTAACTTCATATATACTGTCTGGTCTCTCCTATTCTGGTTTACAATATATATACTGTCTGGTCTCTAATGCTGGTTCTTAACTATGTATACTATCTGAATATCCCTAATCATGGTTCCACAACTTCTGTATACTGTCTGGTCTCCTAATGCTGGTTTACAATATATATACTGTCTAGTCTCCTAATGCTGGTTTTACAACTGCATATACTGTCTAGTCTCCTAATCATGGTTTACAACTACATATACTGTCTGAGTCTCCCTAATTAACGGTTTTTTACAACTATATATACTGTCTGGTCTCCCTAATGCTGGTTTACAATATATACTGTCTAGTCTTTAATATTGGTTTACTGACTATCTGCTGTGTCTGGTCTCCGTGTTGGATTACAGCTGTATGTACAATGCGGATGTCATAATGTTGGTTTACAGCTGCATGCAATCTGAGATGCTCCTAATTGGTTTCAGCTGAATATATATGCAGTTCCTGTATTTTGACACAGCTATGTAATACGTCTGGTCTCCCAAATGGTGGTTTTACAACATGTATGCTGTCTGGTCTCTAATATTTGGTTTGCAAGCTGTATATGCTGTCTGGGTCTCCTAATGCTGGTTTGCAACTGTTGTATGCAATGCGTTATCTAATGCTTTGGTTTGCTGGCTGTATGTAGGTCTGAGATGCTCTAATGGTGGTTTTAGCTATATTATGCTGGCTGGTCTCCTAATGCTGGTTTACAAACTGTATGTACTGTCTGGTCTTCCTAATGACGGTTTACAGCTGTATATATGCGGGTCTCCTAATAATTGGACAGCTGTATGTACTGTCTGGTCTATCCCTAATGGTTTACAACCATAAGTAATGTCTGGTCTCCTATTAACAGTTTACAACTGTATATGCTGTCTGGTCTTCAAATGGTTGGTTTACTTAATAGCATGTATCTGGTCTCATTAATGTTGGTTTGTATATACTGTCACGAGATGCTCTAATATTGGTTTACAGCTACATATACTGTCTGGTCTCCTTGGTGGTTTACAACTGTATATACTGTCTGGATGCTCTATTAACTTTGGTTTTATTATAGTAAATGCGAGGTCTCCTAATGCTGGTTTACAACTGTATGTAAATGCTGGTCTTCCTAATATTGGTTTACAACTGTATATATAGATTATACTAATAGTGGTTTACGGCTGTATGCTGTCTGAGATTAACCATAATGCTGGTTTACCAACCACCAAGTAATGTCTGAATGCTCCTAATGCTGGTTTACAACTGTATGCTTCTGTCTGGTCTTCCAAATGGTGGTTTATAGCTGTATATAATGCAGTCTCATTAATATTGGTTTACAGCTGTATGCGTCTGAAGGAATTATACAATGACACAGCTACATATGCTGTCTGAATTATACAATGGTGGTTTGCAATGTACTGTCTGAGATGCTCTAGTAACGGTTTACAACTATAAATGCATCTGGTGCTCCTAATGCTGGTTTACAACCGTGTATACTGTCTGGTGCTTCCAAATGGTGGTTTATAGCTGTATATACTCTTTCTGCTCTCCCTTATGCTAGTTTCAACTATATTTACTGTGTGAATCACCACCTAATGCTGGTGTACAACTATATACTGTGTGGTCTCCTAATATTGGTTTACAACTGTATATATATATGTCTAGTCTCAATATTATTTACAACTTCTAACATATACCTCTGGTCTCCTAATGCTGGTTTACAACCAACATATACTGTATCCTGGTCTCCTAATATTAGTTTTAACTGTATATATACTGTCTGGTCTCCTAATATTGGTTCACAACTATATATACTGTCTGAATTCTCCTAATGGTGGTTTTACAACTGTATGTCTGTGTAGTGCTCCTTAATATTGGTTTACAACTGCCGTTTGAATATAAATAGTTTACCTTCTTATATACTGTCTGATCTCTAATACTAGTTTACAACTGTATATACTGTCTGGTCTCCCTAATGCTGGTTTACAACTATAAATATGTCTGAGTCTCCCTAATGCTGGTTTTGCAACTGTATATACTGTCTGGTCTCCCTAATATTGGTTTACAACTGTATATACTGTCTGAGATGCTCCCTAATAGTGGACTTTACAACTGTATATACTGTCTAGTCTCCCTAATGCTGGATTTACAACCATAAATATGTCTAGTGCTCCCTAATGCTGGTTTACAACTGTATATACTGTCTGAATTCTTCCAAATGGTGGTTTATAATAACTGTATATACTGTCTGGTCTCGATATTGGTTTACAGCTGGCCATGTACTGTCTGGTCTCTAATGATGGTTTATTCATATGCTGTCTGGTCTCCTAATGGTGGTTTACAACCTGGCTGTCTGGTCTCCCTGATGCTGGTTTACCAGCTATAAATGTCTGGTCTCCTAATGCTGACCGTGTAATAACGTCTCGGATGTTACCAGATGGTTGGTTTATGGCTTTAACGTATGCTGTCTGCTCCTTATTAACGGTTTGCAATATGTTGCGTGGTCTGCCTAATGATGGCACGGATGCAGTATGTAATAACGGATATACTGTGTTGGTTTATGACTGGCGTATGCTGGTCTCCTGATGTTGGTTTGTTGGCGTAATAACGATGCGGTCTCCTAATTAACGGTTTGAGCTGTGTAACGACGCAGTTATACCTGTGTTGGTTTACCACTGACTGTATGTCGGTGTCTAATGATGGTTTTACGACTGTAATATGTGCTGTCGCCAGTTAATACAATGATGGCTGTGTATGCTGTTATTGGTGTCGCCAATATTGGTTTGGCTGGCCGTATGCGTTTGGTCATCTGGAAATGGTGGTTTATGACTGTACGTATGCTGTCTGATCTCCCTATTGCTGGTTTGTGTAACGTCTGGTCTGTTAACGGTTTGACTATGTAATGTAATGCAGGGTCTCCTGAAATTAACGGTTTGGCTTCATGTATGCTGTCGCGAGTTAACCATTGGTTTGACTGTCGCTGCTGTCGCGAGATTAATGTTGGTTTACCGGCTGCGTCGCGAGTTAGCCACAGTAACGGTTTTAATGTTGTAATGCCGATGCGGATTATTAACGGTTTTGGCTGGCCGTAATACCGTCTGGATGTATCCTGATGCTGGTTTGGCAATATGCCGTCACGGTGCTCACAATGGTGGTTTCAGCTATGCTGTCTGATTCTTATAGAATGGGTTTTTGACTGTAATGGCAACGTGGATATACAATAATTGGTTTGGCCGCGATGCGGTCTCCTGGTAACGGTTTTGCAGCCTTAAGTAGCAATGCGGATATACTGGTAACGGTTTTCTGGCTGTGTATTACTTTGTCGGATTATGTAGTAACGGACGTAGTTGGTAAATGGACTGTCTGGTCTTCCTATTAACGGATTATTGCCATATGTCTCGGATTCTTCCACAATGTTGGTTTATTATCTGTACTGTCTGAGATTAACCATTGCTGGTTTTATTGGCCTGCTGTCTGATTAATACTATTGGTTTTGGCTATATATGCTGTCACCAGTTACCTAATGGTGGTTTCAGCCTGTATATGCTGTCTGGTCATCTAATGGTGGTTTCAGCTGTGTATATATGCTGGCCGGTGTTCCCTGTCGTGGTTTTGGCTAATCTGTCTTTACTGTCTGGTCTCCGTAATGCTGGATTACAACTGTCTATACTGTCTGGTCTCCCTAATGAGCTTAAGTTCTGCAACTGCATATACTGTCTGGTCTCCTATTAACGGTTTCTAACTGTATACTATCTGGTCTCCCTAATGCTGGTTTTAACTGGCATCGCCTGTCCTGGTCATCAGTAATGCTGGTTTACAACTTCATATGCCGTCTGGTCTCCTAATAATTGGTTTACAACTATATATACTGAATGCCCTCTAATGAAGTTTACAACTATATATACTGTCTGGTCTCCTAAATAAAGTGGTTTTACAACTGTATATACTGTCCTGGTCTCCCCTAAAGGCTGGTTTACAACTATATATACCGTCTGGTCTCCCTAATAGTGGTTTACAACTATATACTGTCTAATCTGGTCTTCCCTAAGACTGGTTTTTACAACTACATTTACTGTCTGTCTAACTTAATGATAGGTTTACAATATATATGCTGTCTGAGATGTCCCTATTGGTGGTTTACAACTGTATATGCATCTCGTCTCCACTAATATTGGTTTTACAATAACTATATATAATCTGATGCTCCCTAATAGTGGTTTACAAGCTTCTTAACTTTGTCTGGTCTCCCTAATAGTGGTTTATTGTATATGCTGTCTGGTCTCCACAATATGCTGGTTTACAACTGTATATGCAATCTGGTCTCCTAATATTGGTTCTGACTGTATATGCAATCTGAGTCTCTAATATTTTGTTCATACTATATATACTGTCTGGTCTCCTAATGGTGGTTCAATACTATCATGCTGTCTGGTCTCCATAATAATAGTTTAACTGTATATGCCTGTTTGATTCTCCCAAATGAGTGGTTTACAACTAATATACTGTCTGAATTCTCCCTAATACTGGTTTATATATGCTGTCTGAGATTATCCCTAGCAGCTGGTTTCGGCTTCCATATGCTATCACAGTTAATACAATGCTTGGTTTACAATGTATATGCTGTCCTGGATATTTCTAATGATGGTTTATTACTCTGTATACGTCGGGGATTATCGGCATTAACGGATTACAGCTGCGTATGTCGCGGTGCTCCTGATATTTGAAACACAACTATATGCAGGTCTGATCTATCCACAATGGTGGTTTACAACTGGATATACTGTCTGATGCTATCCCTAATATTGGCTTGAGCTGACTGTATATATACGTCTGGTCTCCCAAATGGTGGTTCAACTGTGTATGCTGTCTGGTCTCCCTAAGGTGGTTTGTATATGCATATGCAGTCTATAAAACAGTAATGCTGGTTTACAACAATATATGCTTTGTCTGGTCTCTAATGCTGGTTTACAATATATATGCTGTCTGAGTCTCTCCTAAATGGCGGTTTTACAACTTCATATATATCTGAATGGTCTCCCTAATGCTGGTTTTGCAACTATATGTACTGTCTACAGATTCTCCTAATTAACGGTTTACAGCTGCATGTACTGTCTAGTCTCCCTAATCGTGGTTTATGACTACGTATGCTGTCTGCAGTCTCCTAATGCTGGTTTACAACTGTATACTGTTCTGGTCTCTCCCTAATGCTGGTTTACAACTATATGCTGTCTGAGTCTCTCCCTAATCATGGTTTACAACTACATATGCTGTCTGGTCTGCAGTAACGTAGTTTTCGGCTATAACCCTCTATCTGAGAGTCTCCCCTAATACTTTGGTTAACAACGGCATTTATATGTCTGAATTCTTAATGTCATGAGGTCATACAACGACATACTGTCAGTTATACAAGTAACGGTTTTCAGCTATATAGCAATGCGAGATTATATACCAGTAACGGTTTACAACTATATACTATGCTGTCTGGTCTTCCTGTGTAGGTTTTACTGACTGTCTGTACTGTCGCGGTCTCCGTGATAACGGATTACAACTGTATGTAATGCGGTGCTCCAATATTGGTTTTACAGCTGCGTATATGCTCTTGTCGCGGTACAATGTTGGTTTGTGCAGATAACGATGCAATCTGGTCTCACAATGTTGACTGACTGGCTATATATGCAGCAGGTCTGAGATTATACAGGTAATTCGGTTTGGCTGTAATGTCAATTATGCAATGACGGTTTGCAACTGTATGCTGTCACGGTCTTCCTATTAACGGTTTGACTGGCGTAACTATCTGGATATCCTAATGCTGGTTTACTGACTATATCAATAGATCTGGTCTCTAATGAGTGGTTTACAACTATATATGCTGTCCTGGTCTCCTGAAAGCTAGCGGTTTCCTGGCTGTATTATGGTCGCTCCTAATGATTATTTACAACTGTATGGCTCTGTCTGGTCTCAATAATTGGTTTACAACTGTATATACTGTCTGGGTCTCCTAATGCTGGTTTACAACCATAGCCAATAATGTCTGGTCTCTAATGCTGGTTTAACTGTATATACTGTCTGGTCTTCCAAATGGTGGTTTATAACTGTATATATCTGGTCTCATCTCATTAATATTGGTTTTACAACTGTCTTGCCTGTCTAGTCTCCCTAATATTGGTTTACAACTTCATATACTATCTGGTCTCCTAATAGTGGTTTACAACTTCTTATATACTGTCTGAGTCTCTCCCTAATGCTGGTTTACAACTATCATGCTATGTATTCTCCTAATGCTGGTTTACAACCGTATATACTATCTAGTCTTCAAATGGTGATTTATAACTGTATATACTGTCTGCTCTCACTTATGCTTTGGTTTACAACTATATTATTTTACTGTGTGGTCTACCTAATGCTGGTGTACAACTATATATACTGTGTGGTCTCCTAATATTGGTTTTACAACTTCTTATGTCTGTCTGGTCTCCCTAATATTCAGTTTAACTGTATATATCCTGAATCTCCCTAATGCTGGTTTACAACTGTATACTATCTGAATCTCTAATATTAGTTCTACAACTACTTCTGTCTGAATCTCCCTAATATTGGTTTACAACTTCATATATACTGTCTGGGTCTCCCTAATAGTAGTTTACAACTTCTTATATATACTGTGGTCTCTCCTTAATATTGGATTACAACTGTATATACCGTTTGAGATTCTCCCAAATAGTGGTTGCAACTCATATATACTGTCTGTGAGTCTCCCTAATACTGGTTTACAACGCCTTATACTGTCTGGTCTCCCTAATGCTGGATTTCACAACTATATATACTGTCTTCTGTCTCGGTAATGCTGGTTTAACTATGTATACTGTCTGAATTCTCCCTAATGCTGGTTTACAACTATCATATAATGTCTGCAGTCTTGTATGCTGGGTACAACTGTATGTATTCATCTGAATCTCCCTAATATTTGGTTTACAACCGCATATATACTGTCTAGGTCTCCCTAATATTGGTTTTTAACTTCAGATATACTGTCTGGTCTCCCTAATGACACAACTATAACCATACCGAGTCTGATTATACCCAAGTAGTGGTTAATACTGTTTCTGCTATCTGGTCTCCTAATGCTGGTTTGCAACTGTATATATACTGTCTCTGGTCTCCACATAATGCTGGTTTACAACTGTATATACTGTCTGAATGCTCCTACATGCTGGTTTTGCTTCTGTGTATGCACTGTCTGGTCTCCCTAATGCTGGTTTTACAACTTCTTATATACTGTCCTGGGCTCTTAAATGCTGGTTTAAAACTGTATACGGTCAGAGTGCTCTAATGCTGGTTTAAAGGCTGTATATACAGTCCTGGTCTCCCTAATGCTGGTTTCATAACTGTATGTACTGTCTGAGTCTCCCTAATGCTGGTTTACAACTGTATGCTGTCCCAGATCCCTCAATGGTTTTGTACAACATATATACTGTCTATGCTCCCTAATGCTGGTTTACAACTGTAGAAATACTGTCTGTTCTACCTAATATTGGTTTTACAACTGTATATATATGCTTTGTCCTGAGATTATGCTCTATTGGTCCTTTAGAAAGTGTCGATACTTCTGCTGGTTTCATACTACTGCATACTATCTGGTCTCCATAATTCTGGTTTACAACTATACATAGTGTCACAGTCTCTATAATGCCAGGTTCACCTTCTAAAACATACTGTCTGGACACCCTAATGTGCTTGATGGAAATATATATATACTGTCTAAGGTCCTCCTAATGGTTGTATACAATTATATATCCGTCTGGTTTTACTAGCTACATGTATATACACTGTCTCCTAATTCTGCGTTCAGCGGTTTGGTGCTAAGGGACTCCCTGCTGCTTCATGTAGCAGACTCTTCTCCAGGTGTCTCTCAAGCCAATGATCTCTGGAAGCAATCCTTATTTGTCACCACCTGGGTTATTGTCCAGTTGTCCTGTTGGTACCATACTGATCTTTGTTATTCCATTTTTGTAGATGAGAGCTGAAGAACAGAAACTCCTCAGGGGTTGACAGACAGCTGCATGAACCTAGAAGCATTCATTGTGGCTTTCAGCCTGTGTAGAAGATTTGTGGGTTCTTGATTGTCTTGTTGATTCTAGAAAAAAAGGTTCATGTGACATTACTTTCAAATATATGACAACAGCCAGTAATTTAGTTTAATACAATAGATTTATTAACATTTCCATGAGAATTTGTCAGATTATGCTAATGTTTGACATGACTTAGCCAACAATCAAATCATTATTGATATACTGATAAATTAATAGCACAATATTAGCAAACAAATATAACTATCAATCACATGTTGTTTGTTGTTTTAACATTAATACTTCAGTAATATTCTGAGCTGTATAATAGTGCATAAATAACAAGAGATACAAGTCATGTCAATATCCCCATATGGCAAAATACTCTCTTTATGGGTATGTATACTAATTGCCGTTATGTCAAATATGTTATGGAGTGTATACAACAAGTGAAGAAGAAATATTATTAGAAAAGGTTAAAGATCTGCTCAGAATGGAGCTACGACCATCAAATTCAGTTGAAACCCTAACTTGTTGCCATGGAAATGCAAACAAGATGACATCCCTCATAGTCACAGCCAAAGTCATGTTTCCATGGAAATAACAAAATTAGAGGTGATATGTCTG